AAAGAAGTGATTCTCACGTTTTATTTTCTATTTAAAAATCAGGAGACTTAAATATAGCACTCATGTCCCACTGCTATTTACAAAGAAAGAATGAGCTATACCAGTGGTAAAAAGCAAATTTGTTGGCTTAACTTGATTGTTCAATCTAATGTCTTCAATAAAATATGGTTTTACTTGAGTTATTTAAGCATTTTCACCCTTATTGGTGAAACCCTAACTCCTTCCCAAATTAACTTTCAAGGTTCTTTGTAATATGATATCAGGTTAACCTCTGCTCCTCCTCTCTAAGAAATTGTTTTTATTTGTTGTTTCCTTTAAAGATCTCAGCACAGTTCTAATATGTGGATATTTATTATACACTGAGTTATTTACAATGACTTTCCTCCATTGTGTTTGGGTAGGTAGCCACTGAAGGAAGCTATTTCTCAGGTGGAGATTAGCTACAGGTTGTTCCATCCATCTGAAAAATGTAATTCATCTACAGAGACTAATTATGTGTACATAAAGAAAGAAGGAAAGTGTTAGGTTGCTATAGTAAGAAAAAAAGACTAGATCCTATTTATAATTTCACAGCTCTTTTCATTTACCCATAAGAACTTTCTAGGCTTTCAGACTAGATTCCAGTATTTGACTAATTCATTCAATGTGAATGAATTCAACATAGTTTTCACTGTATTATACAGAATAATATAGAAGTTAATGAAACTAGTTTACAAAGTCAAATCTTGCTATTCCCTACATGTGCCTAAAAATTCTCCTATAATTTATTTTACAAACTATAAAATAACTTCTTTAGCAAAACAAATCTGAAGCTCTTAAAATGATCTCCACTCATTATTAAGACTTACTTTAAGTCAGATACGAGATGAGAAGAACATACTATGGTGACAATGAAGATGAATAATTAGAGAATCAATTAATTACTTCAACTTGTCTTGCAAAACACAACCTAAGAAAATGATGGAATTGTTGCTCTTGATCTGGATAGACTTTTGACCAAGAACCTCTTGATATCTATGCATAAACACAACTTCTCAAAGGAACTAGAGAAAATTTTCCTATGTTTCTGAAAAAGTCATCAGAGATTCAATAAAGAAAATGCTTGTACTACGTGATATAAAGGAAACAAAGAAAGGGGCACTAAATTACAACACTAAGAATAAGGATATTTGTTCCCGGTTTACAATCTCATAAGGAAGAACAGATAAATGGGTACATCTACACTAGAAATTATGGAAGAGGTAAGTGGGGGGGGGTGGGCAATGGCATAAATTACTCATGTATTGGTTTCTTTTTCAATTTTAGAGTAGGATTCCCCAAACATCACGTATTTGTCCTCCAGTCACAAATACCCTCCTAAATCACTTAACCAATAACATTATGTCCGTTCCTCTTTCATTATGTTTGTTTCCTTTCTTGGGTTAACTCTCAGTCCTTGTGTACCCTGCCCCTATTCTTTAAAAATGTTCCCCTCGTGCTGGAAGTTTTGTCTCATAATGAATGGAATGAAACAGTAAGAAAGTACATCCACATACAAACATCTACCCTCATCTGGGGCTATTTTGTCTAAATAATTGATCTGTCCCTCTATAATCCATTCTTCTCACAGAGAGCTATCATTTAAACACAACCCAAATCATGTCATTTTATGGCTTAGAACCCTCAAAATCTTCCCATTGCAATTAAAAACCTTATCATAACTCCTTATCACAATCAGCAAAGTCCCCTGCCACCTGGCCTTGGCTATTTCCTTTAGCCTCATCTCATTTCACGGTAATTTTTTTTTTTTCCTATGCCTTAAGAACAGCAAACTCATTCCTAGTTTAGGACATTATGCTCTCTCTTCTCTCTGCACTATACACAGGGCATACTGCATCTGCTTTTAGATTTCAGCTCGAGACCAGAGAAGTCTTCCCTCCCTAACTCAATACAGAGTAGCCTTCTCACTCAATGCTATTTTGATGCTATTTCCTTACGTCTCATCTGTACCTTCCACTGAAACATATGCTTCGGGTGGACAAGGCCCTGAATCCCAGAATTTGGAACAATTACTGGGACGTGACAGATGTTCCATAAATATTCGTTTTAACAAGGCTATAAGCTTCTTTGTTAAACACAATGATTATACAGGCTTTCTTTTTTCTTTCATTTTCTTGTAGATGTTGTAGGAAGAAAGACAGCTCAATTATTATGCAAGCATATTTTCCTTTAATGTTATGTGAAACTGGTATTGCTTTTGTTCTTCCAAATTTTCTTCACTCTATCTGATACATAATTTAATCTAATTTCTCATTGTGCTTGTTTATTCAACCTGAACACTTTTGTGCATTGGGTAGTATATTCATACATCTAACTTCATATTTTGGCTGTTTACTTCTTTGTATGTCTTCAGAGTAAATGTGTGGGCACTTAATCATCTGTTTCCATTTTCATGCAGTTCTGCTGTAGACTGTACTGTGGTTTGCATAACATAAATAAAGGCATCTTCTGATGAGAAAACCAGACATAAAATATTAAAATATTTCTTTGGTCAAAATTATTTATAGAGCTATGGCTATTGTTTTGCAAAACATAGCAAATGCTTCCACAGCTGTGGAAAAGAAAGAAAATGATTAAAGAATTTCATGGGGTTTTATTTTATTTTGGACAGGCTTGATTGGGGCCAGTGATTTTGTACTATATTTCATTTTGTTTAGAAAAAAAGAAAAAGAAAAAGGTCATCAGAGAGTTCTTCAGTGTATTCAACCAGGAAAAGAACTGGGGAAAGCAGCTTTTCATTTACAGAGGTTGCAAGTACAGTGGTTGGCACATTCAGAAAGAAAGGCAGCCAGTTTTTTCTCATGGATCTTTTATATTTTAATATAGGAACCAAACGTTACTTCTGTTTTACTTGGTGTTCCCATATAAGATAAGAGAGAACAGTAAATCCTAGGAGAGCTCACTCTGACAAAAGACTCTTAAGAATTTGTGGACATAAACATTTGAAATTCTGTGTATCATATAATTACTGGTATTGTGAGTGGTGGTGGTTTAGTCACTCAGTCGTGTCCGACTCTTGTGACACCATGGACTCTAGCCCGCCAGGCTCCTCTGTCCATGGGTTTTTCCAGGCAAGAATACTGGACTGAATTGCCATTTCCTTCTCCAGGGGATCTTCCTGACCCAGGAATCAATCCCATGTCTCCTGCATTTCAGGCAGATTCTTTACTGACTGAGTTATGGGGTAGTGTGAGTACCTAGACACAAAAACTTTTCAAGTATCTTTCTGGTTTATCTCTATGATAGCACAACTCCAAAAATTCTTCAGCCTCCTGAGACTAAAATCCATTGGTCCCAGTCACTCACTGACCCTTGTTCCTTTCAGTGTCCCTCTCCTTCTTGCCCAGTCGAAATTCCAGGAGCAGTCTATATTATCCTTCCTTCACATGCATCTTCAACCCCCTTTCCCTCTTTCAACCACTCAGCTTTTCCTGGCAAAATACCAGTCCTGGTTAAATCCCATTCTCTATCTACTTGGGACTTGAATCTAGGGAAACAAATGGGGCTGAAAAAGCACACATGAGCAAATGGGCTGGTAAGCAAGACAGACTGAACAGTCCCCTCACTTTGACTAAACTTTAGATAGGCTTCTCTCTGACACTATTAGGCTCCTGATCTCCCTTTTCTTGGGGTGTTTACTTTAGAAAATTTTCAACTGTAAATTCTCAATTTGCCTGTTTTGAGATATACATCTTCTTCCAGGCTGATGATCTGTTTTACAGCTCAGGAATGTCTTTCTCAAGGACTAAATAAGGACAAAAATCCTTCCTACCCTGGAAGGTAGAGCTAGGATGAAAATCAGGAAATATATAACCCCAAACGCCTCTCTCCTCCATGAATATTCTGTTCATTTATTTTCACACCTCATATAACCGACTTGCCAAAGAAACTCAGGGCAACTGCCCACCTGGGTCCCAGCTCTTCCCTTGAGAGCTTAATAAATCTTCACTTTTCCTTTTTGACTTCCATCTCATTTCTGAATTCTTTCTGCAATGAGACAAGAACCTACTCTGTGGTAACAGTCCTACTGGAATACTTTTCCAACTCACTCCAGTGCTTTAAAAATTCTCCCGTCCTTTTGTACAACAGAGTGGAGTTTGATCTATCTGTCTTATCATACGTCCTGGATGAACTCTTTTTCCTGTTTAATTGAGATTTGGGATTGGTAATATCAAATAGTGCCTGAATGATGATTGGCAATCATACTATGCCTTCCTAGTCCATTTCCTCTTCTATTTTTCTCATACCTTCTCTTCTGTCTTCAAACCTCTCAAACATCTGCCCCATAGTTGATTGTCTTGCTTTCTAGATCACTGAGAAAATAGATGTCAGAAGAGATAAGCCACAGAGCCAGCCACTCCATCAACCTCCCTACTTGCATAATTGCTTAGGTATTGTGCCTTCCTTGTTTCTGTAGGCACCAGGGACCCTATCCTCTTGTGTTCACTCAAGACACTACTTGTGTAAACCTCCTGTCTTTCTCCTGCTTCAATATTTCCTGTGCTTTATAGGTACAGAGAAAAAAAAGTAACAGTGACACTTTCACATTCACACATGCAATTACATGCATAAAATACTAATACACTAAAAAATATGTACCCAACCTTCTAATTCATGTTATAAATTTGCTAATTTATATCTTCAGAGTAGCAGTGACTACTTATTGCTTATCACCAATTGAAATAAGAGATATATATGCCATCTCCCATTCTTGGAAATCAAAGTAACAAAATGTTTGCCACAGTGAAAAAATTTCCTTCTGCTATAGTTAAGTTGACTTGCACAGTTCTAATTGTGTATAAATGTCAGATATGCTGAGCTGCTTTTATTTGAAGCCACATATATATCTCATCCCAGTGCTCAAAAAAATGTAAAAGGTCTCTGCAGTTTGTGACTTGTCATTGCACAGCTGTGATGGGTTGAGTCCCATCTCAAAAAGTTCAAGGACTAAAAAAAATTACCTCTTCAAGGACGTCAGCAAGCTTACTGAGGATCTCTTCAGGAAGGCTCTGGAATGTTGGAACGCTGAAAAACAAGACAGAGATGATGCTGAAGGCATGTACTGCAGCTCACTTTTATAAATAAAACAGCAATATATCTGAATGGACATGCAAAAAGATTTCATAACTAATAATTTGCAGATGAAGATCATAGCAATAACTTAAGCATAATCTGATGACTAACAGGGGAAAGACATGATGTACAAGAAAGAATTGGAGGTTGGACAGAACTGAGTTCAAACTTCACTTAGATTTCCCTGTGTGACCTTGAATGCCTCAGTTACAATGGGGAGAAAACCACTCTCTCCCTTATCAGCCTGCTGTCACCAGATTCCTTCCAGTTCCATCACCCTCTCTAGGAGCCCCCCCGCTACATATACACACTCTGTCTTCCCTTTCAATAGGCCAACTGCTACCCATCCTCTAAGACATAGCTCGATTGACGACACATTCAGCACTACAAACATGCATTCAATAACACTGGAAGTTTCCCACTTTCACCAGTCTCTCCCCAGCTAGATAAGGTCTTCTTATTATGATCTCTTTTGTCCCTTCCTGCAATTCTAATTAGATAATTAGTCAGATATTTGCTTCTGGCCATCCTCACTACCAAAATCAAATGCCACAAAAATAAGAATTGTATCTATTTTTCTCAGTTCCTATATTTTTAGTGATTTGTTAATAACAACTCAAGAACATGTGTTGAATAAAGTTATGAAAATATGGATATACAAATTCTTCCTAGGACATTTATAGGGATCAGATCAAACAGGATGGAGAAAAAATGTCCAGATTCATAGTAGACCCTGAAAAATGTCTTCTCAGCTTCTTATTAGGAAAACTCACAAGACCAGCAAGGAAATATTGAATTATGTTGAATACACAAACCAATGAAACTTATTTTCTATGGATAATGATAGTAGCTTTAAAAGAAAAAAAAAACTCATCAACATAAAATTCTTGAAAATCTACTCCACTAGAAAATCTAACTGGGATGCAGAACTAAATTCTCATGTAACCCTATTTCAATCTTGAATAGAGAAAAGACTATAAATGAGTGAATATACATTTGTATATAAGGTATTTGATTAAAGACTGATCTTTAGGTAAACTCAATCTTTAGGTAAACTGCTACAGAATAAACATATTTAAATGAGTTAGATGAGTTGGATGAGACTTATCTTAGGTTTGTTGCTAATGTACAATGGTTTGGCTTGATTAGAAAAATACAACATAAGAAGCCAGAACATGGTGTTTGGATATAAGCATGAAAGTTTTACTGTTAATTTGTCACTCTGATTCCCATTACTTAGTGTAAAGCCTATTGATAAAATCCTAAGGTTTTACGCAGAGGTAAAACAATTCATCCAGGACCATCTGTTCCAAAAGATTTACTGCTATGGTCTGAGCCACGTGGGTTTTAATTTCCAGAAGGCAGTCTATTTCAGCAGCTGGATGAAACATATCAGAGAAAGAGAGGATGACAGAGGAAGCTGTTTCCATGAGTTATGCAGGTTGAAAAATCTAGTCCTTCCATGTTCTTTTAATGAGTTATATATTTCAGTTTCTTCTGAGATGTAAGAATAATTAAAATATTTCTATCCCAGTGGGTATTTATGAAAAACACAAACTACAGCTGAGTTTTTCTCATTTTATTATAATTGGCTGCCTTCTTTAGAGAGCTCTAATACTTCTGGCTAAGTCTATGTCAAGCCACTCCACAATATTTTCATTTTCATGGGCATTCTTAGTCATGAGGAAAAAAAAATATTTGCATGACTATGTAACCCACTAAAGAAAACAAAAACATTAAGTTTTAGGAGGACATTTTAATAAATTATTTTTTACAATTTTACTTAGTTTTAAAACATTCAGCTTTATTTAGGTATAACTGACAAAAATGTAAGATATTTAAAGTGAACATAGTGAAACAATTCCTCTCATCCAGTTAACCTAGTTAATTAACACATTTGTCACCTCATATATTTATTCTTATGTACTTTGCAAACTGACAAGTTCTACTCTCTTTGTAAATTTCAGTTATACAATATAGTGCTATCAACTATGGTTAGAAGCTGAAACTCTGTAATCTACTCCCCCTACTTCTCAGTCCCTGACAACTACTGTTCTATTCTATGTTCTTACGAGTTTTTCATTTAGATTCCACATAGAGGTGATGCCATGAAGTATTTTTCTCTCTCTGTCTAGCATAATGCCCTCAAGGTCCATCCATGTTGTAGAAAAGAAAATAGCTGGATTTCCTTATAATGTATTATTTTATATCATACAATAATATTCCATTGTGTGTGTGTGTGTGTGTGTGTGTGTGTGTGTGTGTATGTACATATATACACATACGGGCTTCCCTGGTGGTTCTGTGGTAAAGAATCCCACTACAATGCAGGAAAAACAGGAGACGTGGGCTTGATCCCTAGGTGGGGAAGATCCCTAGGTGGGAAAGATCCCCTGGAGGAGGGCATGGCAACCCGCTCCAGCATTCTTGCCTGGAGAATCCCATAGACACAGGAACCTCGTGGGCTACAGTCCATAGAGATCACAAAGAGTCAGACACAACTAAAGTGACTGAGCATGCACATATGTTTACACACACACACACACATATACATGATCTTATACAATTTTAAATGCTTCAAAACATTCAGTGCCATTTATTACCAATAAAAATTAAGGATGATTTTAAAGAATAAACACTCTAAAGAATTTTTGGTAACAATTTAAGCACTTTCAGATCTAACAAAATGGAAATCAATTAACAGAAAATAAATAAACTTATCAAAGAACCGTTGTTATAGTCATCCCTTTTATAGCTAAAATAACTGGGATCTTGAGACTCTGCTAGAGGTCACAACACGGTACAGATAAAAAAGAAAAAGGATGAACATTTTTATCTGAATGACTATCACGCTGATGACTTGTTGAGCTACCCACCTCACAGCGGGCTTCCCTGGTGTTTCAGACGATAAAGAATATGCCTGCAATGAGGGAGACCTAGGTTCGATCCCTGGGTTGGGAAGATCCCCTGGGTGAGAAGGGCATGGCAACCCACTCCAGTATTCTTGCCTGGAGAGTCCCCATGGACAGAGAAGCCCTGGTGGACTACAGTGCATGGGGTTGCAAAGAGTCAGACATGACTGAGTGACTGAGAACAGCACAGAAGAGCACGCTTCACAATAAAACTATTTTAAAATACCTCACATAATTTTTAAAACCATGCCATATTCTTTTAATGACTTAGAAGTGAAGCAATAATATGAATAACCTCTGATTCAGTGGCTTCATTTATTAACTAACTTTTTACTATGAAACATGTCAAATAAACGGAAACGCTGAAAGAAGAGCTCAAGAATCACATGTATCCCCACCACCTAGATTAGCAACTGTTAATACTGTGGCATCTTTATCTGCCTTCAATCCTTCTAACTTTAGATACATATTGATAAATAGGTTTATAGATATTTTTATGATAATCTGAAAGCAAATTGTAGGTTTCATGAAATTCCATCCCAAATATTTGAGCATACAGATATAAAAATAAGAACAATTAAAAAACACTACTATGTTACTTATGATATCATTTTGTGCCCCATCATTCAAAAGTTAAAGAAAAGGAAACAAACTGTTAATGCAAACGTGATGAAGTTTTTAAGCTTAAGATTGTTTGGTACACCTTTTCAAAGTGCAAATGAATAAGTAAGTAAAGCACCTGACAATGAGTTACCATACTGCATTGACCGGAGAAGTCACACAACAGAAGGCCAAAAAGTAAAGTCTTGGAGAGCTGACTTTGCTGAATGACTGCTGGAGAAGCCAGTAAAAGAAATCATTGTACTGCCTCTTTTCAAAGACACTGTACTTTGCTGAATTAAAGATTTGGCTGCAAACACAAAGATGGGTGAAAACCTTGTCCACAGAATTGCACTTTTGCCTTATAAATGGATTAACCAGTCATGACGGGACTAGCTATTTGGCTGCTATTCATTTGACATCAGAATCAACCAATCATTAAAGAAGATTGCATATGAATACTTGGTAATAAACACAAGTGGTGCTGAACTACATAGCTGGGATAACTTTTCACATCAAATAACATTTCAGATGGAAGACCCATTGACACTGAGTGGAGCCCTATGGAGCTCCACGGCAGGGAGATCTTTTTTTGTCTCTGTTTCCTGTAGACAAAACTCATGACCTTTCCTTTCCAAAGGGCAGTTTCTAACAGTTGCTCTTCAAGTAAATTGGAGATGTCAAGGGAATATTTCATGTAGAGATAGGCACAATAAAGGAGAAAAATAGCAAGTACCTAATAGGGGCAGAAGAGATTAAGAAGAGGTGGCAAGAAAATACAGAACTATACAAAAAAGATCTTAATGACCTGGATAACCATGATGGTGTAGTCACTCACCTAGAGCCAGATATCCTAGAATGAGAAGTCAAGTGGACCTTTGGAAGCATAACTATAAACAAAGCTAGTGGAGGTGATGTGATTCCAGCTGAGCTATTTCAAATCCTAAAAGATGATGCTGTGAAAGTGCTGCACTCCAGAAGACAGCAAATTTGAAAAACTCAGCAGTGGCCATGGGACTGGAAAAGGTTAGTTTTCATTCCAACCCCAAAGAAGAGTAATGCCAAAGAGTGTTCTAACTACTGCACAATTGTGCTCATTTCATATGCTAGCAAGGTTATGCTGAAAATCCTTCAAGCTAGGCTTCAGCAGTACATGAACTGAGAACTTCCAGATGTACAAACTGGGTTTAGAAAAGGCAGAGGAACAAGAGATCAAATTGCCAACATTTGTTGAAGCTTTGAAAAGCAATGGAATTTGGTAAGAACAACTAGTTCTGTTTCATTGACTACACCAAAGCCTTTGACTGTGTGGATCACAACAAACTATAGAAAATTCTCAAAGAGATGAGAATACCAGATGACCTTACTTGCCTCCTGAAAAGTCTGTATGAAGGTCAAGAAGCAATAGTTAGAACCAGACATGGAACAATGGACTGGTTC